AAAGAATAGTACCAGGATCTGCTGCTGGATTAAACAAATTGTTGTAGTTTCAAAGCAGCTTAGAGAACAGCCAGGGGGTCTCAGTTTTCCATGCATCTGCAGAAAACTTGTGCATACTCTAGTGTGCAGAGAGCAAATTGTTGTTACAAAGCTTGTCGCTTAAACTTGGTGCTGATTGCCAAAGCGCCTTACCCTGGTTCTGTCTTACAGAATGGAGCAGTAACAGTGCTGCTGGCACTGTCTTTCTTCTGACTGCTGATTTTACTCAGTATAGAAAATCCAAAGTTTTATATTGTGTTTGACATTGTTGTGAGAAAAGAATGACAGTAATCACATAGTGGCATAATTTAAAAATGAATTTATCTACAGATCAGGTGTCTCAGGCACTTCTTTCTGGACAACATTATAATAAAGGAGGTGAAAAATAGCGAGACTGCTTTGCTCTGGCTGGTAGTTTCAGAAAGCAGTGGATGAGAGGGTCGTTAGTGGAGGGGCTGGCCGAGCTGTTTGCCAGCTGCTGTTTACAGGAGCGGAGTAACTGAATGTGCCCTGTCTCAACAGCTGAAGACGGGTGCCAGAAGGGAGAGGTGCAGGTGCTGACATACATACACAGTCTAAGTATTTCATTGAGGATCTCCGGCATGGCTTGCTCAGCTGTAGAGATCCAGCCTCAAGGAATCGAAGTGCAGACAAGAATTTAGTTTCTTCTTTCACTCTTTGGTGCTGATTTTTTTTCTTCTTAACATTTTTAAGTTATATCACTTAAATAGCATTTTATATCCTGTTGAGATTTAGTAGATGTAAGGCTTGTAGGCACTCCACAAATTAATTTCGTACAACTACTGGAAGCATATTGCCATATAATTTTAACAACTTGGCAACAAGAGCACCATTTAATTTCCCACAACTCTTTTTTCTTTCCTTATTATTACAGAAATGTCAGTTGAACAAGTGATTCTGGACGGCTGCTCAGGATTCTTAAGAGGATTTGACATTACATTTACATGAGTAGAGAGGGAAAACAAGCAGGCACAGGGGTAATAACAGGGTGGAGCCATCTGTTGTAATGCATGCTTGTAACAAAGGGTCTGAACAAATTATATTTATCATATCATATCAGAGAATGGGAAACCAAAGCATCTATTACTATTTTAAACTACCTTCTGGGGAGAGTTCTGCAGTCAGCCACCCATAAATGCACCCTAGTTGGCTTTGGCATGTCGCATAAGAGTGGTGTTTGTCGAGAAGGGAGAAAATTGCTAGTCTTGGCTGTAGTAGCGTTCTCACCAGCTTGGTACCATTTCCAAGACTCTAGCAAATGTTACTGGCTTCAGGGGAATAAAGCCTGCTGTAGACACTTAGGATAGCTACTGCCCTCAACACGAAATTCTTTTTTGCTTCTGCAGTTCAGTGGCACTTCGTGTCCAGGTGGAAAGTTTGTATAGTTTTATGTAACCTGTCTGGTTTCTGTAAGTTTTTTGAGGTGGTCAGTGTTAAACGATACTCTTCTGGATAAATGCCTAGTTCTGTTGGGAGCCTTGCCAAGGTGCTGCTGGCTTCACTTCTGTACTACAACAAGATCTGCAGGTTTGTTCCACGTGCATGAGTGGAGATTTGAGGGGCTGCACCATTTTGGATGTCCTAGTCAAAAAGAGGTGAAGGCTGCAAGGGAGGATGAACTGTTTTTATCTCCTTTGTGCCACAGGCCATCAGGATTGTACCTGCACCTGCCTTTTTTACCCCATAAACAGCTCTCCTTGCTTCTGTGACACTGTTGCGTTACATGCAGCAGTAGCATCTTGGACATTTTGCCCCGAACTACATATGCAATGTAGAGATGCAGCTACAAAATCAAAGCTCCGTTTAATTGCTTCCTAAGAAGCAGTTATGCAAGCGTGATTGACAGATGTCTCATCAGAAGTGGCAGCTTACAGGCAGCAGAATGACACTAGAGGTGTGTCAGATGGGTGTCAGGAGAGCAGTTTCTAGATTAATTCAATGTGTTCTTTGATTTTTATACTTTATTTACATAGCTCCGAGTTCTTACTAAGCGCGCTTGCTTGGTGTCTGCGTGTGTCCTGTGTCTGGTGGCGAGGAAAGAATGGTCACGTGTAAAGGGCCTCAGAAATGCTGTTGCAGTGTCAATTGCTGGATAGCAAAGTGAAGAGTTTTGCTGAATTATTACAGTATGTTGTTTGCTAAATTGATTTCATTCCTGGGAAGGAGGCCGTTTCGTAAGGATTTCAGTAAATCAGGAGTACTTATTAAATGTAGGAACTGATCCTACTCCCGCTGAATTCAATTAGAGCAGATTTGAAGCTCTAGTGTATTTTACAAATAGTATTACAGGATTTTATGCATCTGAAAGCAGGGATGATGGTGATGTTATACTGTAAATGTAATTTCCAGAGAATGAAACCTGACACTGGTTTCCAAACAACTTGTGAACTGTTCTTGTTATCCTGAGTAGATGTGTGCACTTAAATTTGACGCGTCTAACTCAACATTAACATTGAAAGATGATGCAAACGTCAGTGTTTCTCTCAAGGTGTTGTAGGACAAGGAGAGTCTACAGTGGTTTCCTTGCTTTAATCTAAATTCTGTGACAATCACAAGGCTATTTTTCTCTTCTTTGTGACTTATTTTTGTTTTAAATAATGTTAAATCTACTTGTTATCCAAGAGTACCTAAAACTAACTTTGTAGTGGTTGTTTGTATTACCTGAATTGTAATGTGACTGTTTAATGTAACCACATAGGATTTCATACTTTCATAAAATGAATTGGTAGATTTGCAAAATAAATTTGAAACAAAAGCCTCATTTTGTTAGGGTTTTCTTTTATATCAGCAAGGGGTGATGAGTGCCTGTGTATCCAAGGTTGGATAGCAGCTGTATTCAGCTAAGCAGAACGTTGTTAGCCGGCCTGACAAAGGCTGCTGGGATATTCTGCCATCTGACAGACCCTTCCCGCTGTGACATCTTTGGGTCTGTCATTCTTCTATGTCTCGATATCCCCAGCAGCATCTGTAATAATCGTTCCCAGCTGCATGAACAAATGGTTACAGGCCTGAAATGGTTTCAGGAAGGCCCATGCGTTCTCTTTGATTTCACTTTTGCAAACCAAAAAGGTGATTGTGAAGTGCAGTGACCTTCAGCCACAAACCTGTGTTTTCCGTTCTTACCTTTTTCATAGGAGTGTACGATTCTGTATTGTAATCGCCTCTTTTTTTTTAAATCCTTCTCAAAACCAAGTATGTTTGGACACAAGTTGCCTCCTAAAAGTCAACACAGCACAAATGTGGAGTATCTGAAGCCTTTAAGTGACAAAGTCTGTGTGGCTGTTTTGCCAGTGAGTTGCTGAGATGGCATGAAGAAATTTCCACTGCTGTGCCAAGGGAAGTTGCTCTCACTCTGCATCCCTAGAGCTGGAGGAGATGTAGGTCTGACTTCACCCTTGCTCTTTGCTAGCCAGCAGTTTATTAAATTACGCGGGGTGGGAATCGCATCCCCTGGAGTGCTGTGCTAAGCATGCTGAGAGTGGGAGGGAGGGGGCCATCCCACCTCATTTCGGTGACCAGGCTTGGGTTCCTGATCCCATTGCCATCAATTCAGAGTATTAAACTCTGCCAGGGGATGATCCCAAGCCCCTAAGTGAGGTGCTTACCTATCGCCACTGGTTACACCAGGAAGCCTTATTTCCCGTGTGAGTGTCTGGCATTGCATGGTAACGGATGTCTTATGTATGGGCATGTCCTGCAGCTCTGGGTGCCAGCCTGGAGCAGAGAGTAAAAGTGCCCTTAGTTGAGTTTAAACTGCAATCTCCCCCACCCCAAACACCAAAAATCCAGCTTGCTGAGAAACCCTCTACAATACAGTCAGTGGGGTTGTGCAAGTGTGAATGAGACCAGGCTTTACCCACGTTCTTAAAGAATAGTCTCTGGTTGCTAGTCTCTGCACAAGGCAGATAATAGAATTAAAGCTGAATCTTGGGGATTTTCCCATGAGAATCAACTGTTTAGTGGAAGAATTGTTGGACCCAGACTCCTCAGGCTAGGTCAATGTTCAGTCAGCATCTGCTTTCTGTCTCCATGTTACGAGACACGCACAAATGATAACAGTTCACTTTCTTAAAGTTCCTGTAACCTGACTCTTCACCATCCTATCCACAGTGAACAAATCCATCTGCGTGAATTTAAAGCACTTTTCCATTTGGATAAAAACAGATCGTTGAAAAGGGAGCTGCATTAAGGATGATTCTACTTTAATTTTAGATGTGGTCCATAAAAAATACAATTTTTCTTAATGTTGCAGCACTCTCGTCTTGGGAGTGAAGTCTCCTGCCGGAGACACACAGTGGAGACAGCACTGTGTCATTCAGCTCAGGCCAGTTACAGCTTTATCGACTTCCATTCAGCCAGGTTATTTCACACCAATTGGGTCTCCTCTTCATTTTTTTTTATTGTATAGCAGCTCATTCAGATGTCTCCAAATACTGCCAGCTTTTTGTGTGTGGAAGGGAGAATTACACCACCACTCCAAAACAAAAAAAAAATTGTTTTGCTAGATTTTCGAATATCAAAAAAGCCTGAAAAGCTGGAAAGTTGCACTTTATCCCTGGTAAGACAGAGCCTATTCTTTGGTCACGCCTGGCTGCCAATGATCATAATAATACCGAGCAATTAGGCCTTTCATTTTCATTAGGCTAATTAATTGTTTGCACAGTGCCCTGAATATGGAATCATTTTTCTCTGGAAAGAATAAAAGGATTAGAATGGCTTCAT